ATGAAGATTAACAAAAAAAAAATTAGCTTGTTTAAATTGCATTGTATAGAAAAGTTAGGTTACACTACTCAAAATAGAAATTAGGTAAAAGTATTCAGCTGGTTGTTGTTATTAATGCTAGATTTAGTGAAGTGATATTATTCAATCGTCTAAACTTGACTACGCATAATGCCTCTTAGTCAATCCACTAGGGGCTTAAAGCGAAACTATTCATGAGGTTATAGTAGAAAGAAGATAACATTTTAGAGAACATGTCATATCCGATAGAAAAGTATCTTTAGGAATAAAGTTATTACCGTTATAAAAATATTGAATTTTTTTTTCAAATAGTACACTAATTGTAAGATGAAGTGAAAACATTCAATTTTTTTCTGTTACGTTCAGCGTGATGCACGCACGCACCGATTTTCTTATTGATCCCCAGTCAAAAGATATGTTCATGCCAAAATTAAATTTAAAAAAAATGTTTCGTCCAAGTATTCAGCAAAATTATTTAGATTTTCGTGTAAAAAAATTGTTGTTATCGTTTTGTTTTAAAATCGTCAAAAATAAAATTAAAAACATGCAAAAACAATTTTCTCTTAGATTTGACTTAATTTTAAAGTGAATAATAAAGTTTTTTCTAAAAATGTGTATACAATTATCAAACAAACAAATAATTTAACTGATTTTTAGTAAGTCAAACAAAAAAAAGATGTTTCCTACATTTTAGCATTAAAATGATTTTTTATATAAATCATAGACATTTGTTATCTAGACTGTAGCTATGCTCGTAACAATATAGAAGGCATTATTTACAAATTTCTATAACTCGATTTTTCGTTTGTTATTTGGTTGTTTTATAATCAATTTTTTTTTTTTGAAAAATGATTAATATTTTTCTTAAAAAATTAAGTCAAAGTAAAATGAATCTTATTCTTGTATGCACTTAATTTAAAATTTTATATTTTTGGTCATTAAAAAAAAATTGTACACATTAATTAATTTAGTTATTTTTTTCATCTTTGTAATGTTCAAACTTTTTGAGTTATAATGGAAATAATAAATCATTTTGCTGAATGCTGCTCTTTTGACTTTGAGCGGACACAATTATTTATTTTTTTTTTTTAAATTTTGGTTGTAAACTTAAGAAAGATCTACTCTAGTGAGATATTATAAAAACGATTTTCAAAACTGCATATGTCACTACTCATCTTTTAGTGCCTACACTTCAAGCAAAATAACGGAAAAAACATGTCTATTATAGAATTCTCTCCAAAATGTGGAATGTGTAAAACAATGATTAATAATCGATAAAAAAAAAACAACTAGCAATAACAAATCCTTATTAATGGTTTTTTATCACTATATAATTATACATTTTGGAGTTTAATAGAAAAACTTACTTAAATTGAGGAGTTGGTAATAAGTTTTTAGACAACAATCGACTTGTCCAGCTTTCGAAACTAAATGTACTGTTTGAGACTTATGGATGGGCTTTTAGGTCGACCTAAAAATAAAAATCCAAATATTTTTTGCTGAGGCAATATTGTGTTCATTTATTTACACAACGGGTACACTTCCTTTGTTCAAGCCAAATAACGAAAAAAAAAGAATTCCCTCCATAATGTGGAATGTGTAAAACGATGATTACGAATCAATAAAAAATAACTAACAATATATAATAACTATTACTGTTTTTTAACACTATAACTTTTGATTAATTAGGCTCATGCCTATTTTGGTTTAGCGTAATTACAATTTTTTATAGTTTAATAGAAGTATTTACTTAAAATTTGGAGTCGGTAAAAGGTTGTTGAACAGCAATAGACTTGTTCAGCTTTTGAAACTATTTGTACTACTTGCGACTTATGGATTTGCTTTTACTTCGACCCGAAAAATCACAATCGAAATATTTTTTGCACATCAGAATCCTAATAGGTTTTCGCAATGTCACTATGTTCGTTCGTTTACACAACTGATTCATTTTTTTTTACTCTGTACGTACATTATTTAGAAAGCGGCGTTTAAGACTATGTTTTTCTACGCACTACTTTTAAACAAAAAATATAAATTGTTCGACGGACTGGTTGTGGAAAAAAATATCCTGGCTGGTCAACCTCAATGGTATTAGATTGGCTTAAATATGATATAAATAAGAACAATGCAGGGTACACAAATAATTCTACATATTGTAATAAATAATGCTATACATCCTTCATAAGTGCTCAAAAATTAGCCGTTTTTCAGTAGGGTGTAAAAATATAGAAAATATACATTAAGAACAAGAGATGACTAGGGAAAAAGAATGTTTTACTGTCAATAGTATTAATGAACACAATAAGGTGAATAAAAAACTGAACTCAAAAAGGTTACATGTAATACAAATTAATCTAAAGCATAATATAATATTAAATGTAATATTAAAATAGAAACAGTATGTGTAGTGTAAGATTAAGAATGAAAAAAACGTAAAAGGGAAGTTTTTAACGAAAATGTAATAATGGACGAAGGTCGAGAATGCAAAATTGAGATTATTTTATGCTCGGAAATATGTGAAAAAATAATATTGGTTAAAAGAACAACCTTAATAATCAAAGGAAATCAATTTATTAAAACTAATGAAGATGTACTTTCGAAGTTAGGTTTATTCCCCGAAAAATGTAAATTGGTTTTAAATGATAATATAAGTCATATAATTAATAGAGCTAGATGAGTGTCACTATCAATAAAATACAAGAGAAAACACAACTAGAAACAAAGTTCTGCGTACTGCACTAGAAATGCTTTAGAAACCGAACAAGCCATCATCCTAATCTTTTCATTTCTTAACTCTCGTCAACAATTTTTGGCAACCCCCGAAAAAGATTAAGAAGCGGCGGTGTTGTTACCTGCTGGTTCAAAAGAAAAAAACCAGCACAGTCTGAACCAACTGCTAGAGAAGAAGTGGGATGATATTTTGTACTTAGATAGTACGATTATGTAATTCATTGTTTTTAGAATTATGGAAAAAATTAATTATTCTGGTTCAAATTTGGACATTTTTAGATGCACCTTATAACTGGGCCACCCATATTGTTTAATCTTATCGAAAATACTATCAAAAGTTTGCAAATAATTTTTAATAGTTTGCAACTCTATTTTCAAAGTGGCCAAGCAAATATTACACAAGATATGACTAATTATATAAAAGGTGGGCCAACTTCTTGTAGCCCTGTGACTAGCTAGTTTTCATAACAAAACCTTTACGAAACCTACATACGAAAGGGACTTCGTTCCAAACGCGTGTCCCGCGACACGGACCAGTTTTTGTCTATCTTTATTATAGTGAAATAACTTCCTATACAAAAAATTCAGTTAGCGGCCTAGGAAATATAATAGATCTAGTAAAAAAAATGTATATATGTATGTACATACATATATAACATATAAAACATATTTAACATATTAAAACTGCCTTGCGGAACTATAACCCTTATTATGTCTGAAACGGAGGCAACTGAGATAAATATAAAATTTTTGTTTTTATTTGTTATTATTCGCAGATAAAAATGAAACTATTCTGTTTATTAATATCCTTTTCCTTCGTGGGTGTTTTGGCAGATATTTATGGTAATTATTTTATTTTCACAGTTATCAACTAACAATTATTTGGTTGTTTGTATCAAGCATAGATTTATAGCAGAAATAAAAAGAAGAATAGCTTTGGCAATTTTCGAGATGAAAATCTATTGAATTTACACATTACACGAAGTGTATAATATTATTCAACAACAGATGATAATAATTCTATTTTATGGTCATTTGGCAGTATTACTTATATAGTAAGTTTATTTTAGTGCTACATACTATTTTGAAATTTGGTGCCTACTATTATTCCTAAATCTTATTTTGTATAATAAGTTAATTACTATTTTAACTTTGTACTTGATGTTGACAACGGCACTCTTTGGCCGTCGTGATAAAATATTTTATAAAATTAGGCATTTATTACGGATGATTGGTTAACTATGACCCAGTTAATATCTCAGGAGACAATATAATTTTTTTAATTATTCGGTTTTATTCTTTTATAGTTTATATTTCGCCCAATCTCAATATATTTTTTAAATTATGACCCTATCCCTTAAATTTTAAGACCTTATGAACTTAGGCTTTTTATATGGTACGTACGTTATATTTATTAAATTTTCAATTAAAAATTATATTGCTGAAAATTTTGACTGGTCGATAACCAGTTTTCGATAATTACTTTAAAAATAAATGATAAAACTTTAAAATTTAGGACGAGAGGAAGGGTGGAGCGTAGTATTATTATTATCTGCGTCCATTACTCTACATCACTCCACCTCAACACCACCTAAATTTGACTTACGTTAAGCTCGCTTGATGATGATGACTATTATGGTTGATTTTCTGTCTATAGAAATGAAATGCCATAGTTACTCATATATCGTAGTTAACAATAACATGTATATATTTCCATTACCTATTGACTGTTGATTCACTCATATATTATAGCAACTGCGAAATTAGCTATGGTTATATTGTAATTTTCTCCTTATTTTGAAGGGTCTTTCTTTAATAAAAAAAAGTTTGACTACAGTTTCTTAAGACAATTGTAAGTGTTATAGTTCCAGCCTAAATCACCGGTCTAATTTTCAGACCAAATTTTCTAAGACTTTTCTTGAAATATAACTCCTTTATGTCTAAAAAATTCAATTATAATGCAAGATAATTATTATTTGACTGCCAAGCGCCAAAAAAACTATTCAACACTCACGAATGGAAAACAGCGTTGGGCCTCGAAGGCCCGTATTATATGAGTGAGATCAAATTAAATTTTCCTACAAGTAAAAAATTAAAAAAAAGTTTAATTCAAAATAAATATGAATAATTAAATACGTCTCGTGTACTTATTTACATAATTGTGCAAATAATGACACGTCAAAAAAATATCATATTTTATATACTTATTATGAACTTGTATAGTTTTAGTTTTTATTTCGATACTATATAAAACAGACATTCAAAGGCGTTAAAATTCATTCGTTTCGTCTCACAGTTCAACTTAAGATAATACTTTATAGAATAACACAATGTTTTTAAAGTTCTCTATTTCGTTTCTATTTTGTATCTTAGCGGTTAGCTGTATGAATGCGGGCCATAAGCGTAAAGCTTCACATTCAGCTGAACCCGTTTTGAAAACTGAAGAGGAACTGGAGGATGAAAAGGTAGTTCATACTATTATTTTTTTAAAACCACTAGGTTTTTGTAACTTATAATAATTTGTTTTCAACAGCTTAAGTATATTTAAGTTATATTATATCAATCAATTAAATAATGTTTAAATTTATTTTTATATTTTAGTTTGGGTAATAAAACATTAAAGCTTATGATAATGCGACGTTATAACAGTTAAAATGTTTTCTAAATTCATTAAAAAATAGCAACCATTTTTTAGATTAATTTTATTTTTTGTAATCAAAATAATAATTATTTATTTTTTAAGTTACTAAATATTAAGTTCTTTCATTCTTTGATTCAACAATTATTATATATTAGTATCCGTAAATAGGAACATAAAAAATCATTTATTCTAAATAAAATTAGAATTTTTTTCAATTTATTGTATACACCTTGTGTTATACAGAAAATAATAATATAATGGCTAGATTAATTTATATATAAATTATTAATTTAGTTACTATATTTGCCCCCCCCCCCCTCAAAAAAAATACATAAATTAAACTTATAGTTTTATTTATACAACATGATCATTTTATCGTGAACCACTCAATATCTTATTGGGTTAAATTAGTAACTGAACGTATTTTTATAATGTTTATATTAAAACACTATATCACATTTAATTAAATGTAATCTGAATTTTCCCCAACTTTTTATGTTTTTACGTTGACTGGTCGATTAACAGTTTCGGATAATTATTTTTGAAGTTATTGAAGTTTCAAGTTTATTGCAAGAGGAAGGACAGAGCGTAGCATTATTTTTATCTGCGCACACTTTCCAATCGCACTTCTCCTCTCGTCTTAACTTTTAAACTCTTAAAACTTTAAAAATAGTTATCAACCAGTCATAATTTTTAATAAAATATCCTTAATTTAAAAAGTTAATAGAATATATACATTATCATTTTATAAAAACACTCTAAAAAAAAAAAGAATTCCTTATAAACCCTATGAGATATTGAGTGGGTAACGATAATATTATTACCCTGTATTTAATTAATAAAAAAAATGTACAATTTTAAATTGCTTCGTAATTATCATCACGTAAGTATTTTTAGTCTATGCGTATTTAAATTTATAATCAGAATTTTTATGGAATTACCTTTGTGTTGGTTAACAATTTTCAGATAATAGAAACGGCGTTCGAGAATTGTAAAAAATGGATCACCTTGAATATGGATATCACACTTGAATTGATTTCAGAGTTTGCTTATTACGGGTACATGGGTGACAAAAAAGAAGATTGGAATTTTATAGCTACGTACTTAGAGGACCTTAAACCAAATGACCAAAAAGAACATTGTAAACATTAAACACATATTATGATTTCATAATATTTTTTTTATCTTCGATGCGAAACTGTAAAGCAGTTGGTTTTAAGAAAATTATACAATTATATGTATTTTTACAAATTTAAATATGCATCTTTTATGCTTTTTTTTTTACAACACAACTTATTAATTATTTGTTGTTATCAAACAGTGTATGCGTCTTAAAAGTGTTTAACAATAACCGTCCGGAAGATGTAAAAAGTGACCGAAAACAAAATACCTTATATTATAATGTAATATACTATTAAATGTGGAGACACAAAAATATGCTCAAAACAATTAGAACGAAAAAACTACAACTCCTTAGTCCTGACTCAAATTTAGATAAATTAAAACTAATTATTATAGAAACAATACCTTTTCAGCTGCACATCGAAGCTAAAATAAATGATTCGCATAAAGAACTGCATATTATTTATATTTAAATTAAACATTTTTGTTGTGATTTTGTTTTAGACAACATAGGAATTAATTTGGAATTATTTACTAAGCTATTTAAAGAGCATTGCAAAAAATCAGGAGTGCTTGTTAAACATTTCGCTGAAGAAAGGGAAGCCGCAGTGAAAAGAAAGGACGTACTAGGAAACCCGGTGAATTCTTTAGAATTAGTTGTTGTGCCAGACAGAGGGTACAGGTCTGAATAATCTAATATTATTAGAATATGACTAATCATTTCATAATTTGTTTTTAAAAATGTCTCAAAATGTTCTTAAACATATGTTTTTAAAATACAATACATCATGAAGACTTTATTAATTCCAAAATCTGTTTGTTTTCAAATAAACACTTATCACTTACTATTTGTGCAATATTATTTTAATTTTTAAGAAAAAATGAAAAATTACTACAATTTTAGTAGTAATTTAAAAAGGGACACATTTGTTCAAAATTTCAACAGTTACAGCATTATTTAGTACGACATCTACATCATGGTTAATACAACTCATTACGATACCGTTTTTGTTTTTAATTTATCAACCAGCCAACAGTTGGATTCTTCTCACTGTAGCTCTGCCTGAAAACTAACAAAATATAATCTACTCATTTCCAAATAATGATAAAATGAGTCAGCTCATTAAAATATAGTGTAGGGGTAGGATATAATAAACAGTGAGGTTAGTTGTTACAATTTTGATATTTTTCCTAAATTATTTTTTGAATAAATTAATTATTTAATTCGTAACTGTATTTTAGAAAACTCTTAGATACCTTTTAAAATAAAAGTGAGTAAGTAAGGAAGGTTCAGTTGACAGTTAAAAATACAAATATCGATAAAAGCATTTTACCTTATGACAATTATATGCTTAAAAATTAATTTTTGTTATTAAGGTGGATACGGTTAGTGTTCTAGTAACCATCTCTTGATGGCAGCGTTGTAAAATTGTATGTGTTAAAGCTCCAGTCTAGATTTATCTTCGGTCTAATTTTCAGACCGAGTTCCCTAAAACATTCCTTGAAAAATTGAAATAAAGAAAAAATGTCTATCCCTTTAAGGAGAAAGGGTTTGTGATATGTTTTTGGTTTGTTAATGTTTTACGGTAGTTAAATTTATTTTTTTTTGCAATACTAAATCAAATATCTGAACACTATTTACCGTCTTTTTTAATTACTGCGCCGCTACCTTTTTACAGAATATAATACCAATTTCTATTAAAACTTACATTGTATGAAAACAACTAAACAAGTAGGTATATCGCGATGTATTGTATTGAAATCCGAATTGTATACGCTTCGGACAGCCGAGCAATTTTATATGCCTATAATATTAAAAACAAATGATCGCTAATTAGTATAAATACTAAAAGCGATAGTGGTTTTGTGACCATTTGTTTGGTCCAACTATACAGCTATGGTCTCAAGCTAACTGTCAGGCAGACTCTTATTAGGGCTTTTTGGAAATTTTTTTTTTAAATTATTGTATGTTATTTATGTAACTTGTTTATAGGTTACACAACGTATAACTTTTTATTGTCAAGTTATTTGTAAGAATCTGGAGTCACCGATTCAAAAAAATGATGTCCCTTTTGCCTTGTTAACTCTTATTGTCGAGTTATTTCCTACATTCCATTAATGGCCGTACGCAAAAATTTAAAAGTATTTTAATTGGTATTCAAACAGTCGACCGTAATTTTATGTACCTACTGTGCTGGGTACAGAGTGTACTGGTTTGGGCTGTGCTCGATCCTTACAATTTTGCAAATGCATATCAAAACGTTTGATTGTGATGAAATTGCATTCAGATTTAATAATTGCTTTGACCCATATTTACATAGTCTACATACTCAAAACCACCGTTTAGAGGCGTTAAGGCCAAGCGAATAACGATACACATTTTTAAGAATACCACAATAGTGAGCCATATAATATAATATCATATTATTACCCATTAAGTATAATTATCAAAACGCTTCGTTATTAACACATAGGCAAACGTCATTTTATGACTTTGAGCCACAAAGTTACGTAAAAAAATTAAATAAAGAAAAAGATTCAACCCCTTACACTGGTATTGCTGGAACTTAATATTATTAATTTATAATTCAATATACATTGTACTCGATAGACAGCAAGTTAATCTTAATAACATTTTTGCGGAATATTTTTTTTTTTTAGTTGCATTATATATTATAGCCATTATGGTATTACTATTATTTCATCTAAAAAGAATTAATGTAATCGTTACAAATTCCGGTTGATTTATTCGTACTATTGTACGATAAATGTATGTTAGAAGTTGTCTGATGTTATATTTAAAATAGATTATAACAATTGAAACCGACAAAACGAGAACCAATAGAAAATAACAGGTTTTATTTTAACATGGAAAATATCATTAGCAAATTTTTATGGATTTTGCTAATTTCTAGTTACATATTCAATTGTATTAATGACAAAGCTAGGCCCCCATTGGAATCTGTGACCGCCCTGAAAATATTTGGCACCCTGTCACCCGTTCGCGGCTAGTTTTTTGTAAAATTTTCAAACTTGTAACTTGAATTCGGTATGAACATTTAACAACAATTTTATTGGTGCTTAGGCACACCATTGTAAAAAAATGGCGCAAAATACTCATATGTACTCAGGTGGATTGCATGATGCCGAATGTTACCTGGCTAAAAATCCCTAGCAGTGATATTTTCTTTAACCTAATACGTTGCATTCAATTTCTAATTTTTTTTTTATAATATTTAATAATTATTAGCCATATATTATACAAATGATTATTTTATGTTTTATTTTAAAATCCGGCGGGCATTCAACAAAATGTTAAAACATTATGTTTTAACAAATTTCTGAGTATAAAAAAACCGTAGTTTTAATTCCAATTTCCTTTGCGTTCTGTACAATATGGTTTGCAAATAACAAAAATATAGTGTACAATAATGTTCTTTACATAGTCAACGTACACAAAGCTACCGTTTACAAAAACTTTATAAGTTTTACTTAAAGGCGTCAAGGCCAAGCAAATGGCGTTACGCATTTCTATGAGTACTACAACAGTGAGCCATATATTATTATTCACCTTAAGTCCCAAAACTTAAAAAAAAAAATAAAATATAGAAATACATTCCACACTTTCTATGGTTGAAGGGTTTATAATTCATTTTGTGATTTGACAAAGTTCTGAATCGTTATTAGTTGAAATTCTAACCATCATTTGGCGATTTTTTTCATAAACTTGAATGATATTTTTTTTAAGAAAACAAAACAAAATTGGCTTTAAGGCATTTTATAGATAGAGGCATGCCTAATTATTAATGTTTCATAAAAATGTCGATTACTAGGTAATCATACTAAAAATTGGTACTATAAATACTAACAAAATATAAGAGCAAAATAGTTTATTAATCAATTAAATCTACATTTGTATGTGAATATGTGATTTTAAATATGTATATTGCTGCGTATATTTTACATAAATGCAGTATAGTTAACTTGTTCAATACAATTGTACTATTGTTCTATTAAATTTCAAAATTTAAATTTATTGCGTTCATATTTTATTTGTAACTGGACACCTACTATATTACTATACATTCCTTTAAATTCTAAAAAAATATTACTTAATATCTACAAGTTATTATTTTAAAAATTCATATGATTAGCTTAATAGGTAAAATATAAATTCAATTTAAAATGTATGCATAATACATGTATACAGAAATTTATATGTTGAAAATTGTTATAAAATAAAAGTAATATTGGTAGATCTTCTAAAACATTAGCAAGTAAGACGGCTAATTTAAGTTGCCGTAATGAGTTTTAAAAATAAATGATTAAAAAATATTTTTTTTCTATTTAACAAAACAAAATGTACAGACAAATGTATGTTCAAAAGACACTTTATACTTCTAAAAAAAATATTATTAATAATATATATTTTACTAAAAACATCATATCTTAAATTGTTTTAACTCCTTAGTTATACCAGTGGTTTGATATTGAACAATTTTGTTAACATTTTTCTTAGTAGAAATTATTTTCTAATACAGCCAAAGAGGTTCCTGTAACAAATATGTAAAACTATTATTAAGATTCATTTTAATTAAATAGGATAATTAAGAACTTATTTTTTAATTAAGACAAATGAACATATTTGAATGTTGTATTGCAAATCTGGAATTAATCAATGGATTTTGGGCACTTCTGCATTCTGGTCATACGGGATATCATCGTATTGCCATTTGTCTCCACAATTACTAAGAGTTCTGTTACCTGACAATGATAATAAATGGTTAACTCATGAAATTTAGAAAATAAAAATAATTCTGTTTAAAATAATAATAGGTACTTGTTAGTAAAAGTATAAAGTAATACTTACTTTTATAACATTTGTTCAGGTTTTACAATCAATATCGTATTCATGAGTATTAAACTAATATGTACTTATTAATGTAAATTTTTAATCGTTAATCAACAATAATCAACAGAACAAACTGTTAATATCAAAACGCTTTTAATGTATAAGTTATAACATGTAAAATAGTGTACCTGGTATCAAAACGGCACCGCATAAGTATTAAATAAAAACAAAAATAGAAACTGCACTTCAGACTTCAGTAAATATTCTTCAATCAAACGAACAAAATCAAATAGGTTATGTTAAATAAGAAATAATTGAGTCTTTTTCGGTGATAACAAAAAGATACGAATCGGCTAATAAGTGACAATATCAGCTAATCATCTTGGGGTGCCGGCGCGCTTGGCAGGACTTCATAATTCTAGATAAGGTATAGTGGTTCGAATCTCCCACCCAAGTTCGGTTTAATTTGCGCGTTTTCTTCGGGGATCTGTGTGATGGGGCACATTTACTTCCGGAAAGCGTGCAATGTAAGTCGAGGAGAGTGGTGAGGTCAGACATCCTATCAAACCGTTAGCACTCAAAGATCTCGCTGCTGCCAAGGAAATTCAGGGAGGGGGTTCAACAATTTTCTCTTCTCTCTGAATTGTCTTTGGCAGTGGCGAGGAACCATTTTGGCAAAATGTATTATTATAATTTATTTTATATGCCTTTTAAATGCCGTTTTTATTTAATTTATGTTATTAATTTAAATATACTACTACTTAATTGAACAAAATTAGTTTTAAAATTTAACTAATCATAGAATGTTTAATTAATAATGTATTAAATAAATTATAATAATAAATGTTTTAGTTTTAGTAATAAAATAATTTGCAATATAATAACGCTCACAATATATTAAATAGGTGACTATTTATAGTAATGCATAACTTAAATACAATTTAAATTTAAATATCTCAATATTTAAAATCTTGTAATATTATTTTAATTTAT